AAGCTAGTGTGGGTATGTATCGTAGAAGTAGCCTTAGTAAGGTTGTGTTTGTAAGAACATAGGAGTTGTAAATTACTCATTCATATACAGTTGGATCATAGAAAATAGAAGTGAAAGAGAAGTCAGCTCAGGATTGTCCCTTACAGTATATTTTCCAGTACCATACTCAGTCTAGTTTTACATGTCCCAAACAATGGGGTTTCCACTATTTATTTAAAATTGTTTAGTTTTGTTTGATGGATAGAGTAAAATCTCCCATGCAGTCTCACACTGAATATTTGTAGTATTGTGTAAAATTAGTCATATTTTCATGGTTAGATAAATCTCTCATGTTAAGTAGATTCATGACATCGTAGTATAAATGAATATATATACACATACATATATAAATCTATAAATTAGATTGCTTATACAAAAAGAATGGTTAAACATCAGAATCAGTTTGTTGTACACATAGGAGTAAAGTGCATGCAAACAGCAGCGCCTAATTTTGCACTAGCTGACACCCCTTTCACTCAGCTCAGTGTGTCTAAGGACTGGGTCCAATGTATTTTCATGAGATGGAATCAGCACAATAATTGACCCATTACCCTTAGCAACAAAAAGTCATTACTCTATTTTATTTTAGATGTGATTAAGTCGTCATATGTACTAAGTGCTTCTAAAGTTTGATTTACGCTGAAACTCCTTAAGCTATTTTTAAAAATAAGAGCACCAAATATACATTGTACAACAAAAACAAAGTTGTTGTTTATGTAAATGCTAAAGGGTTTGGAATTTGCTTTCCAAAACATTCATATAGGTGGATTTTGAAACATTCCAGTCTTATCTGTTTTCCATAGCACCAAACTATAGCGGCAATTATTTTATATCCAAATAATCATGTAGTAAACCTTATTATACTGCTTGCTAACACAGGCATTTGTTTGGCATTGTTATTGCAAGTTACCAGTTCAGCACTTAATTGTGCTGTAGTAGTAAAATTAAGTGTGAAATACCACAAAGAAGGGTGCATTGCATCCTTACTAACTGTAAATATATGAGCTGTTTGCTCTAGTTATTAGCATGTAAACATATCTCAAATGGTTGTTCTCACTAGAAAAGTAACATTTGTATTAAATTTGGAGAAAAGTGTAATGAAGGCAAAGGGAAATATCATGTTATATGTGAGCAATGTGTACTGTGATTTATTTTTGATGGTCTTCCTAGAGAGAGGTTTTCTTTGTTTTAAAGCTATTACAAGAACTGTTTAAAATACCACAAAAGGCACGTTTGTTTTTTAGTTTAAAACACCATGGAGTTCTGAGAGTGAAAAAATGGGCTATTGGTGACACAGGGATTAATAACACCGTTATTAGGAGGTAATGTAACATCATTTATACAGCAAAAAGGCACATTTCCTGGATCTTAAAAAAAAAACATTGCTTAGGTGCACACAAGAGAGCAGAAAATGTACTATCAGGAACTTTTAGAAATAGTTAGGCCTTTGGGAGCTGCGGAGCTTGGGGAGGAGGCAGTGCGCAGAGCTGCCTGGCCACACCTGCGCCTAGGAGCTGATGGAGGGATGTGTTGTTGCTTCTGGGGAGCTGCGCAGAGCCAGGTAGGGAGCCTGCCAGCCCCACCCCCTCAGCACCAGCAGGAGTCCTGGGCTGCTCCCCCAAGAGCACCTATGGTGTCCCCCGGACCGCCACCCCACCCCTGCCCAAGCACCTGCGGCACCCCTGGGATGCCCCCCCCGCAACATTTAGTCAGGGATATATACTACATCATGAACAGGTCATGGGCCGTGAATTTTTGTTTATTGCCTGTGACCTGTCCATGACTTTTACTAATAATGCCCGTGACTAAAATGTGGCCTTAATCATGTGGCATTTGTGAGTAGGACATTGCTTAGAATCAAGGCTTTGTCAAGTGATAATCTGTAATCATTTGTATGAAAGCCTGCTGATGGACTGAATTGCATATTATTTTTTAATTAATCTGTATAAAGAGCTAGATGTTTAATATAATTTTAAACTCATACACATTCCTGAATGTATTTTATTCATGAATTCAACTGTCTTGGCTCCCTTCTTTTATCACTTCTAAAGTACATGCTGCCTAATCTTTAGTCATATACCAGTGTCTTCTGATCTACCTATTCCTAATTAATATGTTGGGTATATATCATATGAAAGGTTTCTACTTCCGCCTGTCTGAAGCTAAACTTCAAGTTCACAAGAAATCTGGTAACTAATTAGCCTAATGAATTAAATTCTGCCCTTCAGAAATCCCTTTTCTATATTATATTCATTTACATTTTACAACATTTGATGATATGAATGCTAGCCAGGCAGGCCCATTGAGTGTAACGAACAATGAATCCCTCATTTTAAGAAGTCTCTTTATTCAGTTTAAAGTGAACTAAACTGGCAGGTTTTGTAAGTTGCTCTTTTAGATTGAGTGCTGCACTATATTGTTTACACAGTATGATAATGAGATGTGCTAGAGTAACACCGTATCCTTGTGGCTTTTCGCGTGGGCCTACATGCAAATGAGATGTTTCTCTCTCAAGGCTATCCTAGTGAGCAGTTTTAAATACATATAGTATGTGCTGTGCCCCCCACCCTCACATAGTTTATACTTTTTGTACAGATGAAAAATATATATTTAAGTTTTTGGCAAGTGGTGGTTGTCTGTAAGCTTCTGAGTCAGTTTCCTAGCTGCAGCTTGACCTTGGAGTTAATAAAGTGTTAGAAATAACTCCTGCCAGTTAGCAGAGTCACTAGAAGTTTTACTATCCTTCAAGTCCAACTGTGACACTACACATTTCCAGGGATGTGTTAAAGGCTTGTGCAATAACTTCCTTGTTAGGATGCTTCCTGAACATTTGGACTCACATCAAAATGGGCCTCACTAGTGCTGATACATTACACAGCCATTCACACTTAACTTTCTAATGTGCCTTTCCTCATTTAGTGCCTCTGAATCCTTTCCACACTGTCAGATGTCGCTTAGGGCTGAGGAAGGCCAATGGAGAGCAGGACAGGACCACGACTGGTTCTTCCAGAGCCTACAGCAGCATCTATCAAAAAATGGCTCCTCTCACCCAGGCAGCCACCTAAGGCAGTCCAGGAGAGGGGATAAAATGGAGAAGCTGAGAACCAACAACCAATTCTGTGCCCCAGCCCAAGTTAGAGCAGCTCCCAAATGGCTCTAAGTTGCACCACTTGGTAATGGTCACCTTGGGGATAATACACCATCTGAGGATAGCAGGAATGCAACATGCTCCCACCAGCAAGGAACAGTGGGGAGGGAGGTATAGAAGCAGGCTATGCCAGCAACACACCTGCTGGAGGATACCCCCCGGTGTGGAAATACCATGCAGGAGAATTGTGGTGGTTTCTACTCGTCTTTCTCTGTCTGTGCAGCACAGAGGGAGCTGAATAGGTCAGAGAACCTGCACCAAAGCATTGATTGTGGTCCTTTGACCTTTTTGAAATATGGTTAGCCCTCAGGCTGAAAAGGTTGGATATCTCTAGTCCAGAGGTGGGCAAACTACGGCCCGTGGGACCATCCTGCCCGGCCCCTGAGCTCCTGGCCGGGGAGGCTAGCCCCCGGTCCCTCCCCTGCTATCTCCTCTCCCCCGCAGCCTCAACTCGCCGTGCCACCAGCGTGCTCTGGCCCACCGCTCCTGACGGGCAGTGCGGCAGTGTGGCTGGCTCCAACCGGGCGGCGGGGCTGCAAGCTCCTGCTGCTCCAAGCAGCATGGTAAGGGGGGGGAAGGTTGGATAAAGGTCAGGGAGTCTCGGGGGGGGCAGTCGGGACAGGGAGCAGGGGGCAATTGGATGGGGTGGAGGTTTGGGGGGCAGTCAGAACGGGGGGCATTGGATAGGGGGTGGAGTCCGCGGGGGGTGGGGGTCCCAGGAGGGGGTGGTCAGGGGACAAGGAGCAGGGGGGGTTGGATGGGTCGAGGGTTCTGAGGAGGGCAATCAGGGGGCGGGAAGTGGGAGGGGGCAGATAGGGGGCGGGGACCAGGCTGTTTGGGGAGGCACAGCCTTCCCTACCCAGCCCTCCATACAGTTTTGCAAGGCCGATGTGGCCCTCAGGCCAAAAAGTTTGCCCACCCCTGCTCTAGCCTATACAAAGGCTATATGTAATATGGCACCTCAGCGTTTGTAGGGATGTTCTGATTGTAAGACATCGCATTTAATTTTCAGTATCCAACCTACAACCTTTGAGCTTTAAAATCCTTCATTGTTTGGAGGTGACTAAAAATACCACCATTGGTGTTTCTTGCTAACACATTTGACTTTATTGAAATGCAAAATCTTTATAGAAAATATCTCCAACTTGGTTAAAACCACAGCCTGAGCTGCAGAGACAGATGTTCTTTCTTACTGGCAGTCCTGCAAACTTCAACCTGGGATCTGAGAGTTACGCTAGGGGTTTTCTTTCTTACACATCATCCTCGGCAATGAAGGTGTTCTGCAAATCAATCCAGGCCTTCAGTTACACCTGTACAACCTCATTGTCCTCAGTGGCTTTTTGCACTGGTGTAAATGATTGAAATTTTGTACACAATTCTGTTGGTTATGCACAAGAAACAGTAGGGAATAGTGAGTTGCATTCTACCTGTCTGTGTTGGTTCTGAAGTGCTAATAGTAGTAAAGATTACTATGCTTTTGTCTCTAAAGCCCACAGGGAGCCTATCTATTGAATAAGGATGTGCAGTTTTTACCTTGACACTTTTCAGAGTAAAAGTGTACAGACATTTTACTGTATTAATAAGTGTAATTTGTTAAATTTTGTTCAGTTTCATAATTTATAATTATTTCATATTTAATGATTTCTTTTATTTTGGGTCAAACCAATTGTTCACACTGATTTTCTGAGATAAAGAGTTGCTCTTTGACACTCTTTATGTGTCTCATGCTTTAGATGTGCTCCATGTAATCTCTTGGAAAAAAAAACCAGTTAAGCAATCATTTCACAGAACATTATCATTTGTGTTTTTCTAGAGTTCATTTGAAGCAGAAGCCAATGACCAGCTATCTCCTCAAGCACAAAATGCACAGAAGTATTTGTCTAGACCATTATTGTCTTCGGAGAGGCAAGGCTTGGATCTTCCCAACCCTGCAAAATGTGTTAGAAAAGATACTCGGAAAACATCTAATGCCTCTATCTCTAATTCAAGTGTCAGTGTTTCAAGTCCACAAAGAAAATACTCTGGAGTTTCATACAGTTCTTCTGCTGAAAGTGTTATGAATATCAGTCCTTCTCACAAGCATCAGGATACTGAATCCAAAGTGTACAGCGGGGATCTCCTAGATAGGCACTCTGACCACTTTACTGACAGCCATGAACCGTTCACTCCACGCACCTTAAAATCAGATGCTAAATCCTTCCTGTCACAGTATAGGTATTACACACCTGCTAAAAGAAAAAGGAAGGACCCCCCCAAGCAGCAGGTGGAAGCAGAAACACAAACTGACTTGAGCAGGTACAGAGACTAAAATTTTAAAATAGTGTTATTTAAGTGTTAATTATGTCAGGATCTTCATAAAGCTACATACTGCATTGAAGTCTTCTCCCATCTATACAGGTGTAAATCCAGCATAATTTAATTGAAATCACTACAATTCTTCCAGACTTATCACTAATGTAAATTAGAACAGAATTTGGTCTCTTGTGTTAAAACCCTCCAAAGACCTGCTCCAATCTGTATCATAGACTGTGGACATGAGTCTCTACTCCCTTTTACCTTGTGTCACTGTTTACACCTATGCAATCTGGATTTCAAATGCTACCAAATCCAAATGGCAGTATTCTACATGCACTTTGCACTGGTGTCAATGCCAACACAAGGTACAAGAAAGTGGAGACTCATTCCTCATGTATCTGTTCTCCTCCCTGCTCTCTCTGTTTTTTACACTGGCTTTCTTTCTGTCTTTTCTCACAGTTTTACACATGAACCTTCCCTTCTGTAGCTCCTGCAGTCTATATAGAGAATACTCTGGTGTCTCCCTAATTGACTCTCCATCCCTTTTTGAAATCTCACTCAGAATGCCCTTTTCCCCTTGAATACATCTCTTAATGCCTCTTTTTTTCTTTTTAAGATATGTGATTCTATTTTTAGTTCAAACATTTTAAGATACAGTTTGTGTGAACATTTTATACAAGATAAAATTGCCTTCTCTTGCACTGTGCTGCTGCTTGGAGCAGTGGACATGTTAATGCAGAAGAAGGCAATTTTATTTTGTATAAAATGTTCTCATAGGCAGAATTTTTGTTGTCAGATTTTTCCTTCTAAAGTAAGTTTCTTATAGTCTTAGGGACCTTAGTTGCCTCAGTGCCTGTATCCCTAATGCTCCGCTCTCTTGTATGAGCTGTCTTATCCTGCCTAGGGTTTTTACCATGTCCATCAGCATAGTCTCTGAGCACCTTTAAATGAGAGCACTACTGTGCATGTTTTGAGGAAACAGGGGATAGAGGATAATCACTGTGGGGCCAATATGCAAGATGCTGAATGGCCTCCACTCCCACTGAAGTCAATGGGAGCTCAGGGGGCTCAGCACCCCATAGCATCAGGACTGAAATCCATACTATTGGATTTCAAGTGGCAAGTGCAGCACCCCTGAAAGCACTTGAATCTAAAGCAGGAGAATTGTTTTCCAAAATCTTGGGAATATTGAGGTAGGAAGAGCTCAACCTCTGTCAACTTCCTTGGTCATTCAATTAGGGTTCCAGATCTGAAACCAGGGCTTGTCTGGTGGATGTAATGAAATTATTGAACAAAAAATTTGCAAGAAACTCTGTGAGCTTCTCCTGCCCCCTTACCTCTGTTAACTTCATCACTTCCTTTTGATATAGATTGTGACTAAAGTAAAATGGTCTAATGGCAAATATACTTCACCACAGATAAAATGCCAAAACACCTTTAGACATTAAAATTCAGGTAAGGTAGTCCCTTTTTATAGACGGGTAGATAGATCACTTAGATGAAATTTCCATTGATACCTAGAGGAGAATAGGCATTTTAATGTATATTTAAAATAAATACCTGTGCCCTTTTCCATCTGCAGCAAAAAGGCATATAGAAGAAACATTAAGTTTGGCTGTTTTAAATAGTTCTATTAAGACATTTGTCTTCAAATATCTTTTTTCTAATACATGAACCACTGCTGATTGAGTCTGATCATTTAAACAAAGATCAAGATTCCCAATATCATTGGATTTATGCTTCTTACCACAGGTCTTTCATAAACCTTTTTGAGAATGTCAGTTACTTTCTATTTTTAATTCTTTTTTCCTTAGCAGTTGAAGTTTATGTCACATATTTAAGTTAATTTTGTGCTCACAAAGGGTGGTATATTGGCCAAACTGGACACTCAAGCCCTCATTTTATTAAAAACACAGGCAGTAGCAATGCAAGCGTCTCCTATACTCTACCCTGTACTTGGAGATGATTGGTCTTTGCTTATTTTATTCCATATATTTTGGAATTCAGAAGACTGCAGTGGTGGTAATTTACCATCGTTCATATTTGTACTATTGATTTGCTGTGTGTAGGTTATATAATGGCCCTATTGCATTTTATATTAATTTTTTGGCAGTCTCCACTCCCAATCCCAGACAATTATTCTGAATATTTTGCTATGCAGTCAGCAGATCAATTTGGATGATCTGGATATGGCTTTATTACCTTAAATATTGCCATCATTGAAAATTGACTCTTAGTTTCATTATGAGAGTAGAAGCTATAGCAAAGATTTTCAAAGATGTCTAAAGGATTTGAATGCCCAATAACCTTTAATATTGATGGGAATCAAGTGTCTAGATCCTGTAGGTGGCTTTGAAAATCTCTGTCAATGTATATAGAAAACAGTTGTTTCAACTACAAGGCATGTATATTCTGAGAGATCTGTCTAATATTCTTTTTAAACTTTGTAGTTTTCAATCTGAGGCCAGAGAACCTGAGAGAAAAGATACTACCATACTGCAGAAGATCATAACACAGGTAATACAAACAATATCTCTATCAGTCACTGAGGTGTTTTGACTACATGTCCACCATGCAGAGAACCCATATTTTATCTTTGCCACTACAGTGTGAAGCTGAATTCAATTTCATATTCTGGATGGGTGACAGATTAATTTGGTGTGTGTCAAGCTACTTGTTCCAAAGGAATGAGCTGGAATGATAAGAAAGAATATGGATAAATTGAAATAGATTCTGAAAAACTAGTTTTTTAAAACCTATGTGTAGTATGTGACATTCACAGGTAAGCATACATGTAAATATACACATATGAAATTGAGATACAGATAAGAATGCAGACACTTGGCCCAGTATCATTAAACATGATGAAGTTGGTGCAGTATTGTAGGTAGGCAGATAGATAGCTCATAGATACACAACCTGGTGTATGGAATTTTTGTACATATGGAATACAGTCCTAGAACTTTTGGAGAGGGATTTGAAAACCAGAGCCAGATCTTTAGTGACTTTTATTTTAAATACTATAGCTCAAAAATGGCATTGTTTCTAAGCTGGAATGTAGCAGCCCATTAGACAATAGTGTGGACTTTGGGCTTTTGGGGAATCTTTGGGGGAAAAGAATAAAAAATCAATTATTTTCTTGAAAAAAATGACTTAAGAATCATGCACAGGAGAATTTGTTTGGAGATGGATTCTGTAAGGATTTTTAGCACTTGTGCTTGAATATATGTTTGAGAGCTGGACAGACACACGAACCTGAATATTAATAAGGAGCCTTTATATGCTGTTAGGTTAGGGAAGTAAAAAGTACTTGTGAGAAACCATTCAGATCCTGAATATGTAGTAAAGAAGCTTCTGGTACTCCAAAATAAAAATAATTCCTGCTGTCGTCCAAAATGGACTCTTGAGAGCCATCTCTTAGTATGGACTTTATTGATACCAGTTGTTTGAATCAGATAGATCTGTACCCCATCTTCTTCTTCGAGTGCTTGCTCATGTCGATTCAGTTCTAGGTCTGTGCGCGCTCACATGCACATTCATTGGAGATTTTTGCCTTTAGCCTCTCACGCTAGCCCACCAGATGATTTTAAGGAGCACCTATCTCTGCTCCAAAGGGTGTTCACGAACTTAGGCCTAGAGGTGGAGGAGATGGTGGCGTAATCGGACACCTTGTTTAATGTGCTCTCCGCATCAACCCCTACACGTGTCACGCTTCCGGTGCACAATGGGGTCCTAAAGATTGCCAAATCCCTCTGGCAAACACTTCTCATGAGCAAGTCCTCGCTCAGGAGGTCAACAACCACTTGCAGTTGGGGGCAATGGAAGAGGTCCTTCAGGAAATGAGGGGGAAAGTGTTTTACTTCTGCTATTTTTTATTCCTGAAAGAAAAAGGGGGTCTAAGACGCATTCTGGACCTGTGGAGACTCAACAGATATCTCAAAAAGTTGAAGTTCTGCGTGGTCTCCCTGGCCTCCATCATTCCCTCCCTGGATCTGGGAGACTGGTACACCACTCTCAACTTGAAAGATGTTAATTTTCATATTTCCATCTTCCAATGACACAGACGGTTCCTCTGTTTTATGATGGGTCAAATTCACTTCCAATTTATAGTGCTGCCCTTTGGCCCCTCGTTGGCCACGCGTGCATTCTTAAAATGCATGGCCCCAGTAGCCACTTACCTGAGACATCGAGGGGTCCAGATCTATCCTTATCTCGACGATTGGCTCATCAAGGGCAGATTGCAGGATCAAGTGCAGAGGAGTCTCAGTCTGGTGCGTTCTACCTGTCACGACCTGGGCTTATTAGTAAATGAAAATAAATTGATCCTCGTACTAGTGCAACAGATAGAATTCATAGGGGTGGTCCTTGACTCCACGCGGGCCAGAGTATTCCTTCTGGAGGCCCGTTTCTAAGCTATGTCAGACTTGAACTCCCACATAAGGGTCCACCCGCTCATCATGGCCCACACCTGCCTGAGGTTGTTAGGCCACATGGCAGCTTGTACTTACGTGGTCCGTCATGCCTGGCTCCATCTCCTGCATTGCAAGCATGGCTGGTGTCAGTCTACACCCCCAAAGGGCATGATCTAGACCTGGTAGTCAGGGTGCCAGACCCAGGGCCGGCTCCAGGCACCAGCTTCTCAAGCAGGTGCTTGGGGCGGCCACTTGGGAGAGGGGCAGCAGGTCCAGGTATTCGGCGGCAATTCGGCGGACGGTCCCTCACTCCGACTCGGAGTGAAGGACCTCCCGCCGAATTGCCGCCGCAGATTGCGATCGCGGCCGCGGATTTTTTTTTTTTTTTTTTTTTTTTTCTGCTTGGGGCGGCCAAAACCCTGGAGCCGGCCCTGGCCAGACCACATCCGGTTGTCACTGGAATAGTGGTTGGACCCCAAATCGGTGTTGGATGGGGTTCCCTTCGCGGCCCTTTCCCAGTTGCTGACCCTGGTTTCCGATGCCTTGGACCTTGGCTGGGAAGTCCACTTGGGCAAGCTCAGCATGCAAGGCCGCTGGCTGCGGGACAATCGCTCCCTCCACATAAATGTCAGGGAGCTCAGAGCGGTTCATTTGGCCTGCCAGACTTTCCGGTCCCACTTGAAGGGCAGAGTGGTACAAGTCCTGACAGACAACACCACCGCAAAATTTTATATCAACAAACATGCTAGGAAGCCCTCCGGCTCTG